ACATGAATAGTCTGTCATACAGACCCTGATACAAATATTGTGAGTGAGTTTGGTTTAACGCCGCTTTTAACAGTATTCCAGTTATATCGCGGCGTGCCAGATTAATGTGGAAGGAAAGCCCGAAGTGATGCAGGTCACAGACGTTTAGCACATCGGTGAAACCCACGGGCACGGGTATGGTGCGCTCCTGATACAAATATATCCAAAGCATCCAATGCAAGTCTATAATGTTTGGCAAGTCTAGATTACAGTATAAATGAAGAGTGTCCCTGGGCTCCTTTTTATTATATTTTAATAAAGATAATTTAACAACTGTTATTTTCTGTAAGGGATGTTCATTTCAGAGCCTAGTTGTTAGTCTAGTACTTACTTGGTTTCAATAGATGGCTGTTACGGTTCTCACGCTTAGTGGTGGAAGGCTCCTAATTTGAACTCTTACAATAAGTCGTCGTTTTAATGCCACCTTATATAATGCAAGCTCCAACGGATTCAGTGCATGGCCGTTCTGGCCTAATTGTTCACCCATTTGTTTGGTCAGATTCGTTATAATGACCCGGGGAAATTATTAAATGTAAAACCTATCCTAGGCAATATTTTAAGTGGCATTATAGAGTGAGTATATGGTGTTACGCCGGTTTCAGAATATTCCAGCAATATCACGGCGGGGGACTCCAGAAATGGGTTTCACACATTGTACCCATGTGGGGAATCGAACCCGAGCTTTCGGTGTGACGAGCGAACGCTGTAACCACTAAGCTACCTCACGGCCCCGGCACTATGGAAGCTGTGGTAGCGAGGGAGACAGAGTAGAATTCAACTTAATTTGTATCCCTTTAATGCGACGTTCTGGTACAGATGCTATAGTACCTTTGTACAAAACATCAACCAGGCCCAATCCAGGCGTTATCAATTGCTTGATAAAGGTAGACTACCTTTGCATTTGCTTCAAACAAAATGGCGGCGCCCAGTCAAGACGATCTGCTCGATAATCAAGATCTATATTGTGATAAAATGGGTCTTACACCGCAAAGTGCATCAAATCACGTGAGCACCTTACTTAAAAACATGAAAAGATTTGGAAAACATCTTTTTACAACGAGTTGGCGGTGCACATGCTTTGCAAATCCTGCTATCGACTGAAATCTGCACGACAGTTTACGAACCAGATTTCGATTTCGTTGCGCGATTTTGATTGGACCATGCATAGACTCGTTAGTCCAGCCAAAATGTAACTCCATAATACCAGCCCAGTTCGGCAAGGGTGGAAACTAAACTTTTATAGCCAGTTAACTCTCTTGCTTCGGGAAGAAGCTGGTGGCGCTACGATCGAGCCCAGGAATTCCAGCGTAGTTCGGCAAGGGTGGAAACAGGACTTCTAAAGTCAGTTAACTCTCTTGCCTAGGGAAGATGACATCAAGCTGACAAGCAGTGCAACTGAAATAGTATTGAAAGAGCAGCTAACCCACTCACTCAGTACGGTGTAAAAAGTTATCGCACCTCTTAAAATTCCGTACACTCCTCTGCTGCCACATATAACCAATATTGGAGGAAAAGACCTCTCAAAACATTTGGATGAAGACATTGCTGCGGTGTACAGCAGGACATATTTTCACCCACTCACTAAAAATACAAAAGATCCGGGGTAGAATGGGTCTTCAGCAACCCACGTTTGTCGTAAGAGGCGACTTTGCTTGTCGTAAGAGGCGACTATCGGGATCGGGTGGTCAGGTTTCCTGGCTTGGTTGATGCATGTAATCGTATCCCAGTTGCATGGATCGATGTTCATGACATCAATCACTGGATTGTCTCGTCCAGACTCGATTATTTACAGACCGCCGTCATATAGCTGGAACATTGCTGAGTGCAGCGTTAAACAACAAACAAACAAACAAACAATACTCAATGCGGTGTAAAAATCTATTGTAGCCCGTAAAATCCCGTACTCCTCTACTGTCACATGTAACCAAGATTGCATGAAAAGAATACTTTTCTAAACAGTTGGATGAAGTTGTACGGTGGTAGACATTTCATGCCGCAGCAATACATATTTTCAACCACTCATTAAAATTACCCCAAACATTATGTCGCCACTGTCGCCACTCACGTTAACTAAACCCCCAGTCAAAGAGAAAATAATCGTAGATAGCCACACGATCAAGCGGCCACGTAGTAATGGGTAGAGAGATACTCTGTTGAGCAGCAGGTGGCCATATTCAGGGGAATAAATACATAGTTCAATAGCAAGATGTACATCCATGTTGATAGATGGATGGGGTGAGGAGACGGGTGGACATTCCGGTAAACATATACAGTAAACTACGGTTATAACGAACTCAAAGGGACTACTTATTTTATTTCGTTATAACCGCAGTTCGTTATGAGCATATATACAGCATAACTACAGCAAATAGTCGGGGCCAAAAAAGTAAGTTCGTTATATCCGTCAGTTCGTTATAAGCGTGTTCGTTATAAGCGTAGTTTACTGTAGGTAGATATTCGGATTTACAGATATATATATCCAGTCGAGCAGTCAGTAACACAATCGGGTAGATACACAAACAGGCAGGCAGTTAGAACACTGTGTAGTAATCCAGGCGAGAAATCAGTTAGTCGGTGAGAGATACAGTCGAGCAGTACGTTAGACAAGCGAGTAGATATACAAGCGAGAAATCAGTTAGACAATCGGGTAAATATACAACCTGGCAGTCAGTTAGACAATCGGGTAGATATACAAGCGAGAAGTCAGTTAGACAATCGGGTAGATATACAACCTGGGAGTCAGTTAAACAATCGGGTAGATATACAACCTGGGAGTCAGTTAAACAATCGGGTAGATATACAACCTGGGAGTCAGTTAGACAATCGGGTAGATATACAACCTGGGAGTCAGTTAGACAATCGGGTAGATATACAACCTGGGAGTCAGTTAAACAATCGGGTAGATATACAACCTGGGAGTCAATTAAACAATCGGGTAGATATACAATCTGGCAGTCAGTTAGAAAATCGGGTAGATATACAACCTGGCAGTCAGTTATACAATCGGGTAGATATACAAGCGAGAAGTCAGTTAGAAAATCGGGTAGATATACAACCTGGCAGTCAGTTAGACAATCGGGTAGATATACAACCTGGCAGTCAGTTAGACAATCAGGTAGATATACAACCTGGCAGTCAGTTAGACAATCGGGTAGATATACAACCTGGCAGTCAGTTAGAAATCGGGTAGATATACAACCTGGCAGTCAGTTAGACAATCGGGTAGATATACAAGCGAGCAGTCAGTTAGAAAATCGGGTAGATATACAACCTAGCAGTCAGTTAGAAAATCGGGTAGATATACAACCTGGCAGTCAGTTATACCATCGGGTAGATATACAACCTAGCAGTCAGTTAGACAATCGGGTAGATATACAACCTGGCAGTCAGTTATACAATCGGGTAGATATACAACCTGGCAGTCAGTTATACAATCGGGTAGATATACAAGCGAGCAGTCAGTTATACAATCGGGTAGATATACAACCTGGCAGTCAGTTATACAATCGGGTAGATATACAACCTGGCAGTCAGTTATACAATCGGGTAGATATACAACCTGGCAGTCAGTTATACAATCGGGTAGATATACAAGCGAGCAGTCAGTTAGACAATCGGGTAGATATACAACCTGGCAGTCAGTTAGACAATCGGGTAGATATACAAGCGAGCAGTCAGTTAGACAATCGGGTAGATATACAACCTGGCAGTCAGTTAGACAATCGGGTAGATATACAAGCGAGCAGTCAGTTAGACAATCGGGTAGATATACAAGCGAGAAGTCAGTTATACAATCGGGTAGATATACAACCTGGCAGTCAGTTATACAATCGGGTAGATATACAACCTGGCAGTCAGTTATACAATCGGGTAGATATACAACCTGGCAGTCAGTTAGACAATCGGGTAGATATACAAGCGAGCAGTCAGTTAGAAAATCAGGTAGATATACAACCTGGCAGTCAGTTAGACAATCGGGTAGATATACAAGCGAGAAGTCAGTTAGAAAATCGGGTAGATATACAACCTGGCAGTCAGTTATACAATCGGGTAGATATACAAGCGAGCAGTCGGTTAGACAATCGGGTAGATATACAACCTGGCAGTCAGTTAGACAATCGGGTAGATATACAAGCGAGCAGTCAGTTAGACAATCGGGTAGATATACAAGCGAGAAGTCAGTTATACAATCGGGTAGATATACAACCTGGCAGTCAGTTATATAATCGGGTAGATATACAACCTGGCAGTCAGTTATACAATCGGGTAGATATACAACCTGGCAGTCAGTTATACAATCGGGTAGATATACAAGCGAGCAGTCAGTTATACAATCGGGTAGATATACAACCTGGCAGTCAGTTATACAATCGGGTAGATATACAAGCGAGCAGTCAGTTATACAATCGGGTAGATATACAACCTGGCAGTCAGTTATACAATCGGGTAGATATACAACCTGGCAGTCAGTTATACAATCGGGTAGATATACAACCTGGCAGTCAGTTATACAATCGGGTAGATATACAAGCGAGCAGTCAGTTATACAATCGGGTAGATATACAACCTGGCAGTCAGTTAGACAATCGGGTAGATATACAACCTGGCAGTCAGTTAGACAATCGGGTAGAGATACAATCGAGCAGTACGTTAGACAATCGGGTATACAGATACAGTCGGGCAGTTAATTAACAATCGGGTATATATACAATCGAGCACAAACGTGAAGACACGGGGTGGGGAGGTATATGGTCGATCAACGTGGTAACCATGCAAGTAGGTAGATAAATAGTCGAGAAAAAGTCTTTTAGTTTCACAATCCGTGACCATGGTCAGAAAGCATTTCAGTGAATTGAACATATCAAAGCATTGTACAGCAAGGATCAATATCACGCACATTCTCTCCCGAGGTATACAACTCACTAACATTTCTTTACTGAATTGCATTACAGCCATTGAGTGTATTGTATCACAAATCATTCAGGCCCTAGAACTCGCCCACACTCAGACCCCGAATCAGTCCTCGCAGATAAAGCAGAATACGGTAGTGATTCTTGTTCTGTTCAATGGGTCTATGTCGCCCTGTACCCTAAGTACGTGAAATCGTGATCGCACAGCACCTCAGTCAATAGTTCGAATGCGACCTAGTTTAAATACATATATTCTTTTAAATCAACTCTGTTACTTTAAACTTCCGCTTATAAAGAGGCGACTTTCGCTCCCACGTGTTAAGGAATGTAACGCTTTGTGGTCGGTGTATAAATAAGTCACGGGTGTGACATGAACGGATACTGTATGGGTCAATTATGTCAGTTTGAGCGCGTGCAGAACGTGCAGAAATGGCTATGGAAATACGCAGTTACTTTTTAAATTAAATGTTAATATATTCATATTTGAGTTTGAGGTTTGAGTGAAGGAACTGTTCAGCTAAAATAGCCAGGTGTTGTTTGTTGTTAACGCCGCGCTAAGCGCTATTCCAACTATAATATGGTAGTGCTCTGTAAATAATCGAGTCTGGACCAGACAATCCAATCATTGACATCATGAGCATTGATCTAAGCAATTGAGATACGATGACATGCATCAACCGTCAGCGAGCCTTACCACCCGATCCCGGTAGTCGCTTCTAACAAGCATGGGATGCTGAAGGCCTAGTGTCAGATTAACTGGAGGGTGGGGTGGGGTGTGTGTGTCATGACATTAACAGCGAAAGAGGGGGTATCAAAGAGGGGTGTGTGTGTGTGCGGGGTGGGGGGGGGTGGGGGGGGTGGGGGGGGATATTATTATTTTGAACGAACGTTGTATAGGTACTGTCATATTCATTACGGGGAGGGTCGGCATATTTTACATGTATCAGTGTGTGTGTGTGTGGGGGGGGGGGGGGATGTATGAATAAGTGTTACATAAAATGGGGCGATGGGGAGGGGGGGGGGGGGGGGGGGGGGGGGGGCACAATACAGTCTTAACATGAACCCCTCCCCCCTCCCCTGATCGCGAAGAATGGTATATGCTGCCATTTAATGGTACTGATGCTCCAGTATCAAGTTTCTTTTATTGAGATATAAAATTGTAGGGTATGATCTCACCGACTGATATTTTTCATTATATGCTTCTCCTAAAATAATGTTGTGTATTGTCGTGCCTCTTTCCTTTGTCCGTCCCCAGTGGATACTGCAGACCCTTAGCTACTCGCAACACGGACATGTGAGACAATAAAACAAATTCCGCAAAGTTAAGAATCATATTTAGCGGTAAGTTGACTGGACGTATTTTGGAATTATGTCCCTTTGAAATATTCCGCGGGAAATGCAATGGCGGATTTGTTGATTTCTGAACAATAATCTTATAAACACGTTCGTGTGTGGGGGCTAAAAAAGCATCTGGAATTATACGAGAACACCATGGATGACTTCTTTGAGGAAGAATTTGCCGATGAACTTGACGCACTCGAAGATCAAGACGGTGAGTGTCTGATGACCATACTCACAAAAATGTCGCTCTGCCTATGTCGCCGAAGTAGCTGTGAACACCTGAACGGACACAAGATACACGTGAACGAAACAGATATTGTCAAACATACATCGATAGCCACTCAGTCCAGATGAATTCCATTATTTTATGTTGACGAATTGATGAGAACAGGGTTGTTAATGACGCTGATTGTCAATATTGATTCTGACGGGTAGCGGCGCAAGTTGTGATATAGAACAGCTGATACGTTTAACGGGGAGGGGATCCGTTATACACAGTACAGACCCCTGAAGAATGACGGTGATTTCATTGAAACACCGGGCCCATGACTGTGGAATATATTTATTTTATGAAAACAAAACAGTCTAGATAGACATGAAAAGGTAAGTCTATAGCCACTAGGGCTCGGGTGGGTGGGTGTAAGGGTGGGGGTGGGTGGGGTGGTACTGAGTAGGACTCGGGTACCCACAGGACTACCCAAACCCATGGTTATTCACATGATATATTGTTTAATCGCACAACATATCTAGAACTCTACATGTATCTAAATACATTTTGCCAGGGATACAGTCAAACTATTCCCAGTCGGACAATTTGTATCTATCTGTTGAGAACTCCTGTGGGTAGTAAATTTGGACTCTGGTAGGGTCGGCTAATTAGGGCAATGGTACCCGGGGAGTAAATTTGGACTCGTCCCAGCCCTTCTAGCCACCTCTAGCCAATGAAATCAGCATCAGGAAAATTATTTAGTTTTAGATCTGGAGGAGAGTAACATATTGTGTAATAAAAGATTTCATAGACTATTTGTAGTCCATCATATGGATAACATGTAATATCACTATCCTGCTTCAGTGGCCTGTGATACATGGCTATTATTAGGACTTATGTCCACTTACACACAACCATGACAACTGTGCCTTTTGTTATTTCATGAGATCGTTTTTTGTCTACAAATTGAGGTCATTATTATTACTATAGAACTTAAGGGACCAGTCATTTGTTTCAGGCGGTGTAAGGAGGAATCATGGGAGGGCCACCAAATAATATGACAGTCTCTAGGGGAGGGTCATCAAATAATATGACAGTCTCTAGTGTAGGGTCATCAAATAATATGACAGTCTCTAGTGTAGGGTCGTCAAAAATGATACACATATTTGGGATGGGTCATGAAAAAATTGACTTTACATGATAAAATATTATGTGGTTTTGCATCTTATCTTTTAGGGGAGGGTCGTGAAAAAATGTATGAGGTCATGGGGAGGGTCATCCCCAAAAATGACAAGCTTTAGGGGCATTGTTTTCAGTACATAACATTAAAAACGTCTGATCCCCCCACCCCTGTAATAGATGACTGGCTCCCTCATTATATTATGCTTTAAATTAGTGTCTAAACAATTACACATTTTGAAGAGTTTCCTTGACATCTTCATGGTTCGACTACATACAAAGACATATATTCTTGAGGAAATGTTTAGGTAGATATTAAGTTGTAGCAGTATCACGAGAGGTACATATGGTTTTATGCATCCCATGTTAGGTTTTATACCTCCGACTCGTATAAAACCTAACGATGTACCCCTTGTGATACTGCCACAACAAATTTTTCTTACCGACATGTTTTAATGTGACATTGTAAATTAATTAAAACAAATTCAAAGTTGATACAAGGGAGCTGATCGATTGAGCTGAGGTTATGTCTTGGTCTTCGGCTTGTTGCCAAACGGCTGTCTTACTCTCAGCATGCTTTTATGCATCTTCCCGAGGCAAGAGAGTTCACTAACTTTAAAAGTCCAGTTTCCACCCTTGATGAACTAGGCTGCAATTCCTGGGCTTGATAATCGAGATCTATATTGTGATAAAAAGGGTCTCACATGGTGAAGTGCATCAAATCATGTGAGCACATTGATCAAGAACATGAAAAGATTTGGAAAATATCTGTTGACGAGTTGGCGGTGCAAATGCTTTACAAATCCTGCGATCGACCGAAATCTGCTTGACAGTTTACGAACCGGATTTCGATTTCATCGCGCGATTTTGATTGGACTATGCATAGACATATTAGTCCAGCCAAAATATAACTCCATAATACCAGCCTAGTTTGGCAAGGGTGGAAACTGGACTTCTATATTCAGTTAACTCTCTTGCCTCGGGAAGATGGCTTTTCTGACCATGTTAAAATTTCTTTTTCAGATGATCCAGGTGACCCACTGGCTCCAAAGTCGAAGAAGACGCTTCAGTTCACGACACCCAAACCAAAGAGCAAGCACCCTCACCCAGGCGGGTGTTTAGTCAGCCCCACTCCTCTCACCCCACTCGAAAGCCCGTTGTCAGCCAGGAACGGACACATCAAAGAGAAAAGACCAAGAGATGACAGCTTCACTTGTCTGTCAGACAGTGATGAGGACATGTGTGACAGTCTCCCCAAAATAGGTGACTTGTAGCCCTTGTGTTCATTCTAAATGATATTATTAATCAAATAAGAGACAAGGTGACACTTGGTTCCACAGTCTAGTGGCCATGCTGGTTGTAGGTCTAGACATTGTGTTTTGTTGATTGTGTAAAACCTTATCTTTGAGTAATTTTGTAATAAGGGTTTCATGATGATCAAATCAAGTATGAGACTGGCATATTAGGGAAAAAATTTGTTTGTTCAAACTTAGGATTTTAATAAATCTGTACCCTGTTGCTTGCATTTTAACAGTGCTTTCAATGGATTGAGGTGAAACAGTTTCAAAGCTAAATTATTTTCGAAGTAAAAGAAGTTGCCTTGCAACAGTAAGACGTTAGGTATTATAACATGAACTTGAACCATGTTAGCACCTGTGTGGGGAATCTATATCAGAATAGGTTCCTATAGCAGTGTTCGAAATACCTGCCTGCCCGACCGTCCGAGACGGGTTGATTTCAACTTGGGCTGCCAGATTTTCAAATCCCCCTGCCCGACGGTCGGGTTATATTTCATATGTGAAAATATTCTAAATATTTCCAGATGATAAGCTTTAATTCACATGTAAAGGTGAATGATAAAATGAAACCAAAAAGAAACCCCGTTAGCTTATCCTGAGAAACATATGATTATAGTGGGCAGGCAGGTTTTGGTCAGGGCTGGCAAGTATTTCAGCTAGCCAGTCCTGTGGTCTGGCTGAAATTTTTGGGAGTTTCATACCCTGCCTATAGCAACCTATGCTGAGCGTAAGAGGCCACGCAATGAATTGGGTGGTCAGACTTGCAGCATGTCATGTACCCTGACAGTGTGGAGGATTGTCTGGTCCAGATTTGATTATTAACTAGCTGTCCTCAGAGAGCAGTATTAACCAACCAACAAACAAACAAACAAACAAACAAACAAACAAACAAACAAACAAAAAATGTTAACTGAGGTATTGCTGGTTAGTCTAGATCTTAAAACTCCAGTCAGGAGAAGAGTAAAGTATTATCAATAATCCGATTGCATACATGCAGTGCCTGGCGAGAAAGGAAAGTCATGCGATCACAGATGTAAATCATTTCTTATATTTTGCTGAGATTGGTATGATTGGGATGATGTGTGGTGGTGTTGTGACTGTTCTGCCATGGTGTCAGGTCCGAGAGCTAAACGGGCACGGACAGAGCCAGGAGAACCTCGGAGCCCCACCCCCCCTCCCGACTTGGATCCCAAGAAGCGGCCCCGGGAAGCAGCACAGAGATACAGTCTAGCACACAGGAATATCGCTGATATTGACATTGACGACTTTGGTGCTGACCTTATTGATGGTGAGAATTTATAGATGCTAAAATTATCCTCACATGCGGGATGCGTGTGCCACAAACATACACAGCCAGTTGACATGTATGATGAGTTGTTTTACTAATTGGGCTCCCAAAATAATATACATGTTTCAGGTAAAATGAACCCAAGGGGAAAGTAGTTGGTTTTTTATACCCCGCCATGAAGTGGAAGAGGGATATAGGAATGGGTGCTGGCCTTTCTGTCCATCCGTCTGTCATTCACGTTTCGTTTCTGGTGCAGAACTAAAAAACCATGAGAGATATCTCAACCAAACTTGATACATAGATAGGTCTAATGGTGGGCTGGAGCCTTTTGATAGTTTGCGACTTTGACTTAGACTGAAAATGGCACATAGATAGGTCTAGGGGTAAACTGGGTCATTTTGATAGTTTGGCATTTTTGAAAAAAAAACTTTTTCAAGTTTCCTTTTAAACGACTTTGATTTAGACTGAAAATGGCGGTTGTGCTCGCTTCCGGAGCAGATCTTCAAAACCGTACAATATTTCTTGCCTTTCACACAACCGGACATGTCATATTGGGGATAAGAGTATTTCATGCTTGTTTTGTTAATTTTTCTGTTTAATAATGGGTATCACTAATGGCTTGTTTAAAACTGATGTTAGTTGGTCACATTTTGAAGAGGGCCATTGGAGTAATAGAATGTTGAACTTCACTTTCACACAAACCTAGACTTTTATTTCGGAGAAAATCTGTCTTGCATACAGGTATTTAATGAATGCCGTTATTTGTGTCTTTTGTCAGTAAACAGTGGTAGAAAATCTTTTTTCTACTATGATATTTTGGTTTTGGAATCCCCTTAAGCTTAACCTTATGCAGTCTGTGTGAGAAGTCTTTGGGTTCACTTGCCCAAACTTGTCTATTGGCATCGTATTCAGTTCATATTCATGTTTTAGTACCGCCTCTGTGGTCTCATGTTAGAGCGTCTGCCCGGAGACACATCATACCAATAGACATCTAAAGACGGTACTTGCTGTTACCCTGTCTGGCGCTCAGGATTAAGGGGCTAAAACAAGGAGTGGTCAGCTCAGAGTCAGTGTGCTGTGTCTGAGTAGGGTATTCACGTTAAACTGCAGCATGGTAAAACCCGATTTCACCTCATCTCATGTTTCAGTGTTAAGGTTGGCAGGGCGTTGTCAGAGCTGGCTGTGGGTACACTATGTTTCTCTTTGTGTCAGACTACGAGTTGGAGCGTCCCCGAGTGTTGTCCCGCATCCCCAGCGACGGCTGCAGCTACATCAGTGTCACCAACATGGAAGGTCGGAGGGCGTACATGAAGCTGAGGGATAAGCTGGAGCTGGAGCGGGAGGTAATGGATGCAGTGTGGAAGTAGAAGTCAGGTGGAGGCTTTTACCTTGCCCTACAAAACTAGGTCCAGGGGACCCCAATTATTAATTTCTTAAACAATGCTTCGATGGATTGTGATTTTTTACTTCTCCAATCTCATTAAAATCAGATCTTAGTTCTCGCGATCGCTAAACAAAGATCTGAGGACATCCCATTACGGGTCACGTCAGAACGACCTTTCATCCAACCAATCAGAGCGTCGCTTACCAGATCATGAAAGTGACTGTCGGAATGTGTTTTCTAATAATGTAACCACGAAATATTTAACAAGGGGTATTCTGAACGATGGTTACGGGTTTTATAATTATATCCATACAATCTAGGCAATCTGTAAGCCATTCCAGCCAATATCAGTTTTATTTTTTTTAATCGAGAATACGTCAAAATATGTTTCGAAGCATAGTCGCTAGTTTGAAACTAGTGTTGTAAGGCTCGAGAAAGCTGCCTTCTGATTGGATAATGTTGATTTCTTGTCAGTCATTTCATTGGTCAGTCAAAATTCGCAAATGTTCCTTCTGACGTGACCCGTAAAGGGATGTCCTCAGATCTTTGTTTAGCGGTAGCGAAAACTAAGATCTGATTTTAATGAGATTGTTACTTCTCGATACAAGTATCGATCAGAATCGCACACTTAGTAAAAAGTATCGATTCTTACCTTAAATTTATTCTTTGATAAATGTTACACCAAACACTAGTTACTGTTGAAAAATGATTAGTGAAAATGTTAATATTTTCAACCATTGCACCAAACTTGACACTGCCAAATGTGAATTGTTTGTGTGCCAGGTTTTTGGCCATTCTGTCTATGAAAAAGATGGCTAACGCACCAGGGAAAAGAGCACATGCAAGTATCGTGATACATATCGGATCATGAGTAAGGTATCGTGATACGTATCAGATCGCACAGCTGGTGTATCGTCCCAGCCCTAATTTCACCCACCTCACGTCCCAAGGAAGACTTTAAATGGAAAGTTTGGGTATTGAGAAATAGTTGTAGTAGATAGTAGATTGTACAGTCTAATCATTGATGTAGATATTCCATCTTCCCAAGGCAAGGGAGTTACTTACTGTAGAAGTTCAGTTTCCACCCTTGCCGAACTAGGCAGGAATTTCTGGCCTCCATCATAACGCACCACAAGTTATGTCCCTTCTATGTCCCTCCTCTTGACAAATCAGATTCCACCTCTCATATCACTTGCATTTACTTCAAATAGAATGGCGTTGCTATTTGAAGACATTCCGATCCATAATCAATATCTATTTTGTAATTAAACCTGTCTTACTTCGAAAAATGCACTAAATCACCTGAAAACCTTGATTAAAAACATGAAAATATTTGGAAAATATCTGTTGATGCTAACTTGATGGTGCACATGCTTTGCAAATCCTATAATGGACCGAAATCTGCACAGCAGTTTAAGAACTGGATGTCGATTTCATTACGCTATTTTGATTGGACATCATAGACTCGTTTGTCCAGCCAAAATAAAACTCCATAATTCCAGCCTAGTTCAGCAAGGGTGGAAACTGGACCTTTGTAGTCTGTTAACTCTCTTGCCTCGGGATATTCTAGATGAGCATGAGTGTCTGTGTTGATGATGTGAAGTTCAGCATAGTGGTGTTGATGTTTCAGTTTGACAGTGTAGGGAAGGACTTGAAAGCCACACAACTGCTGACAATTCCTGTCTCTGTGCTTCGGTATCAGGCAGAGGAGGAGGTGAGTTCCGTCATGCACACCGACCAAATGTTTGTTTGTTTGTTGTTTAACGCTGCACTCAGAATTATCAGCAATGACAGCGGTCTGTATATAATCAAGTCTTGACCAGACAATCCAGTGATTGACATCATGAGCATTGATCTATGCAATTTGGATACGATGACATGCATGAATCAGGTCAAGGAGCCTGACCACCTGAACCTGTTTGCCTCTTTCGACAAGCATAGAATCCTGAAGACCTATTCTAACCCGGAATCTTCACGGGAACAGATTATTTAGGTCTATGTATATGATCTCATGGGCATAATAGGTGAGGTCCAACTAAAATGGTATTTAAGTGGTCCAGATGAGGGTACAATGTTAGCATCCTCCTGTCTGTTTGGTCCATGTTATTCACCACAGGCGCCAGTCACGGGGATGCAGATGTTATGTTGATGGCTGTGACATAAAGCATCAATCACAATTTCTATTTCTTTCTTTGAATTAGGGCGTCGGGTAGCCTAGTGGTTAAAGCGTTCAATCGTCACGCCTAAGACCTGGGTTAGATTCCCAACATGGGTACAATTTGTGAAGCCCATTTCTGGTGTCCCCTGCAATGATATTGCTGGAATATTGCTGAAAGCACCGTAAAACCATACTCACTCACTCACTCACTCACTCACTTTTTCTTTGAATTCTTTGTAAGTTGACTTGTGTGGTACACACTAGGTATTATGTTGACAGATGTTTTATTAGATCCATGCGCTTATAACTTTTCAGAGGAGGCAGAAGGTAATAGAGGAGGCTGAGAGAATATCCCAACAAATAAATAGGTGAGATTTCCATTACTCTAGGAGAATAATGTCTTTGTGAGAAGAAACTGCCTCTGTTGTGGGTCTGCTTATTAACTGTTCACATAAAGTGACTCACAGTCTCAAGCAACTGCGACATGAATGAGGTAGAAGGACTACAGAATGTGATTGTTATGCACTATCAGAGCTTGAGGATGCCAGGAGTCGCGTCATAGTATATACGCACCATTTCTAGTCCCGCCCAGAAGCCAATATTCAGCCCCAAGTCTGTGGCAAATGACTGGATTAAGTCCCAATTTGAATTAAAAATTTATTAATTCATCAGAATTTATGAAATTAAGAACATTAAAATAGTCAAATTTTGAACAATATCACGATTTTTTGCTGCATTAGCCTGCCAAAGTCACTTAGTTAGGAATCCTAGATACATCCTGAATATTCTTCCACTGACTCTGCTACCTGATCCCTGGCCCATTATATTCCCAAGGTGATACTTCCACGTCCGTCTGAAGCCCGGGGTACTATAATGCTGAATAACAATCTTTTCAATACAGATCTGCCTGTTCCAGTTGACTAATTCATAAAAGTGGGGGGGACAAGTATTGAACATGCCATGGTTTCTTTAGGTTCTGTTCATCTTCCTGAGGCAAGGGAATTAACTGACGTTAAGTCCAGTTTCCACCCTTGCTGAACTAGACTGCAATTTCTGGGCTTGTTTGTAACGCCACCAGTGGCTATTATGAGTTATGTCCCATCTATGTCCCTCCTATTTACCAATCAGATTCCTCCTCTCATATCACTTGCATTTGCTTCAAACAAAATGGCGGCACCCAGTGAAGACGATCTGATCATTGATAATCAAGATTTTTATTATAATTAAACACATGAGCACCTTTATTAAAAACATGAAAAGATTCAGAATATGTATGTTAACGATAAATTGACGGTACACATGCTTTGCAAATCTTGCAATCGACTGAAATCTGCATGGCAGTTTACAAACTGGATGTTGATTTCGTTACACAATTTTGATTGGACCATGCATAGACTCGTTAGTCCTGCCAAAATATAACTCCAGTTCTAGCCTAGTTCGGCAAGGATGGACACTGGACTTTTTAGAAACAGTCTATTCAGACCTGAGGGATGGGAGTTTTGAGGTTCATCTGTTCAGTCCTGAGATGGAATACTGTTTGTATTATTTATTGTCCACGAATTAAAAATATCGCAACTGATTTGTGTTGTATTTCCTTGCTGCTTATAGGGAGATCAGTGATGATTTGTCCACACTGGATGAAGCGGAGGATAAGGAGAATCAAGAACCTGACAAGGCCGAGCCCCAGCGTAACTTGTGGGTGGAGAAATATGCCCCTCGGCGCTACACGGAGCTTCTCAGTGAGGAGGTAGGCATCAGGGAGTGTACCATCGGATTATAAACATCATTACCGTAACCATGGTTACCAGTGCTCAGAATTAAGGGGTGTCCTCTTGTCTTTGAGGTTTGATGCAAAAGTATTCAATCTGGAGATCTCATAAAGCTTTAAAATTTTAACATCGGAGCTATGACAAAGATCCCTCAAACTTTTGTGCTTAATTTTTAACATTGGAGACCCATGTTCAACAGAAATAAGTATTAAACCCACTTGCCCGGAGACCCAAGGTGAACAGAAACTAGTATTAAACACACTAGCCTGGAGACCCATGTTCAACAGAAATAAGTATTAAACCCACTTGCCCGGAGACCCATGGTGAACAGAAACTAGTATTAAACCCACTAGACCGGACCAGTTTTGTTAATGTTAAAGGTATCCTGAGGGCCAGTAGAGTTTCAAACATTTGTGGGTGGTGTTCCTATGTGGTATCACTAATCTTGTCAACATGTTAATGATAAAGGGTGACGCTATTTCTCAGGGGATTATCATTTGAAGAAGCATGAGGTCTTCCATCAACTGCCCAATGGAGGAGGGCAGTTGAAAAGACCGATGGCTTCTGCAAATGATAAAGCCCTTAAAAATAGCATTATTATGGTTAAAATGGATAGAATTTGTTATCAAATTAAAAATAAACAATATCGGTTTTGAAACATTTGCTGCAATCAACACACAACGAATGTCACTGACCCACTTTTACAAATATTGAAACATCATAGAACAAACCAGATGACGTTGCTATTGCATTCCCCATGACATCACCTACAAGGGGCGTGATAATGGCTCGTTGTCAAGCAGTATGAGGGCATTATCAAGTGACAGTGGCCTGCTCGTTTCTGATAACATGCGGGCGGTTTAATTATATTTTTTCCATTTAAGCTATAACAACATGATGATCTGGCTATGACATGGCTTTTTGTGTCTGTATTATTTTTATCGATTTTATGTGCAGTCTGTCTGATAATGATGTGTTCCTCGCTGTCGATTAGACGTTGAACCGCACGCTGCTGCACTGGCTGAAGCTATGGGACTTTGTGGTGTTCGGGAGAGATCTGCCAGTCAAGAAGGACAAGAAGGAGAAGAAGAAGCAGGAGTTTAAGAAGTGGAAGCAACCAGAGGTCCTTGAGGAGCTCGACAAGTTCCACAGACCTCAGCAGAAGGTGGGTGGACACAGAGGCTGGGTGGACACAGAAGGTGGGTGGACACAGAAGGTGGGTGGACACAGAAGGTGGGTGGACACAGAAGGTGGGTGGACACAGAAGGTGGGTGGATACAGAAGGTGGGTGGATACAGAAGGTGGGTGGACACAGAAGGTGGGTGGACACAGAAGGTGGGTGGACACAGAAGGTGGGTGGATACAGAAGGTGGGTGGACACAGAAGGTGGGTGGACACAGAAGGTGGGTGGATACAGAAGGTGGGTGGACACAGAAGGTGGGTGGACACAGAAGGTGGGTGGCCACAGAAGGTGGGTGGATACAGAAGGTGGGTGGACACAGAAGGTGGGTGGATACAGAAGGTGGGTGGATACAGAAGGTGGGTGGACACAGAAGGTGGGTGGACACAGAAGGTGGGTGGATACACAGATGGTGGGTGGACACAGATGGTGGGTGGACACAGATGGTGGGTGGACACAGAAGGTGGGTGGCCACAGAAGGTGGGTGGACACAGAAGGTGGGTGGACACAGAAGGTGGGTGGACACAGAAGGTGGGTGGATACAGAAGGTGGGTGGACACAGAAGGTGGGTGGACACAGAAGGTGGGTGGACACAGAAGGTGGGTGGCCACAGAAGGTGGGTGGACACAGAAGGTGGGTGGACACAGAGGGTGGGTGGACACACAGAAGGTGGGTGGACACACAGAAGGTGGGTGGACACAGAAGGTGGGTGGACACAGAAGGTGAGTGGACACACAGAAGGTGGGTGGACACAGAAGGTGGGTGGACACACAGAAGGTGGGTGGACACAGAAGGTGGGTGGACACAGAAGGTGGGTGGACACAGAAGGTGGGTGGACACACAGAAGGTGGGTGGACACAGAAGGTGGGTGGACACACAGAAGGTGGGTGGACACAGAAGACGGGTGGACATTCAGGGTGGGGGACACAGAAGGTGGGTGGACACAGAAGGTGGGTGGACACAGAGGGTGGGTGGACACACAGAAGGTGGGTGGACACACAGAAGGTGGGTGGACACAGAGGGTGGGTGGACACACAGAAGGTGGGTGGACACACAGAAGGTGGGTGGACACAGAAGGTGGGTGGACACAGAGGGTGGGTGGACACACAGAAGGTGGGTGGACACACAGAAGGTGGGTGGACACAGAGGGTGGGTGGACACACAGAAGGTGGGTGGACACACAGAAGGTGGGTGGACACAGATGGTTGGTGGACACAGAAGGTGGGTGGACACAGAAGGTGGGTGGACACAGATGGTGGGTGGACACACAGAAGGTGGGTGGACACACAGAAGGTGGGTGGACACAGAAGGTGGGTGGACACAGAGGGTGGGTGGACACACAGAAGGTGGGTGGACACACAGAAGGTGGGTGGACACAGAAGGTGGGTGGACACAGAAGGTGGGTGGACACACAGAAGGTGGGTGGACACACAGAAGGTGGGTGGACACAGAAGGTGGGTGGACACAGAAGGTGGGTGGACACAGAAGGTGGGTGGACACAGAAGGTGGGTGGACACAGAAGGTGGGTGGACACACAGAAGGTGGGTGGACACAGAAGGTGGGTGGACACACAGAAGGTGGGTGGACACAGAAGACGGGTGGACATTCAGGGTGGGGGACACAGAAGGTGGGTGGACACAGAAGGTGGGGCATCAGCAGAAGGTGGGTGGACACACAGAGGGTGGGTGGACACAGAAGGTGGGTGGACACACAGAAGGTGGGTGGACACACAGAAGGTGGGTGGACACACAGAAGGTGGGTGGACACAGAAGACGGGTGGACATTCAGGGTGGGGGACACAGAAGGTGGGTGGACACAGAAGGTGGGTGGACACACAGAAGGTGGGTGGACACAGAAGACGGGTGGACATTCAGGGTGGGGGACACAGAAGGTGGGTGGACACAGAAGGTGGGTGGACACAGAAGGTGGGTGGACACAGAAGGTGGGTGGACACAGAGGGTGGGTGGACACAGAAGGTGGGTGGACACAGAAGGTGGGTGGACACAGAAGGTGGGTGGACACACAGAAGGTGGGTGGACAAAGATGGTGGGTGGACACAGAAGGTGGGTGGACACAGAAGGTGGGTGGACACAGAGGGTGGGTGGACACAGATGGTGGGTGGACACAGAGGGTGGGTGGACACACAGAAGGTTGGTGGACACACAGAAGGTTGGTGGACACACAGAAGGTGGGGCATTAGCAGAAGGTTGGTGGACACACAGAAGGTGGGGCATTAGCAGAAGGTGGTGGACACAGAAGGTGGGGCATCAGCAGAAGGTGGGGCATCAGCAGAAGGTGGGGTATCAGCAGAAGGTGGGGCATCAGCAGAAGGTGGGGCATCAGCAGAAGGTGGGGCATCAGCAGAAGGTGGGGTATCAGCAGAAGGTGGGGTATCAGCAGAAGGTGGGGCATCAGCAGAAGGTGGTGGACACAGAAGGTGGGGCATCAGCAGAAGGTGGGGCATCAGCAGAAGGTGGGGTATCAGCAGAAGGTGGGGTATCAGCAGAAGGTGGGGCATCAGCAGAAGGTGGTGGACACAGAAGGTGGGGTATCAGCAGAAGGTGGGGGACACAGAAGGTGGGGCATCAGCAGAAGGTGGGGTATCAGCAGAAGGTGGTGGACACAGAAGGTGGGGCATCAGCAGAAGGTGGGGCATCAGCAGAAGGTGGGGTATCAGCAGAAGGTGGGGCATCAGCAGAAGGTGGGGCATCAGCAGAAGGTGGGGGACACAGAAGGTGGGGCATCAGCAGAAGGTGGGGCATCAGCAGAAGGTGGGGTATCAGCAGAAGGTGGGGCATCAGCAGAAGGTGGGGCATCAGCAGAAGGTGGGGCATCAGCAGAAGGTGGGGCATCAGCAGAAGGTGGGGCATCAGCAGAAGGTGGGGGACACAGAAGGTGGGGCATTAGCAGAAGGTGGGGTATCAGCAGAAGGTGGGGTATCAGCAGAAGGTGGGGGACACAGAAGGTGGGGTATCAGCAGAAGGTGGGGTATCAGCAGAAGGTGGGGTATCAGCAGGAGGTGGGGCATCAGCAGAAGGTGGGGCATCAGCAGAAGGTGGTGGACACAGAAGGTGGGGTATCAGCAGAAGGTGGGGGACACAGAAGGTGGGGCATCAGCAGAAGGTGGGGCATCAGCAGAAGGTGGGGCATCAGCAGAAGGTGGTGGACACAGAAGGTGGGGTATCAGCAGAAGGTGGGGGACACAGAAGGTGGGGCATCAGCAGAAGGTGGGGCATCAGCAGAAGGTGGGGCATCAGCAGAAGGTGGGGGACACAGAAGGTGGGGCATCAGCAGAAGGTGGGGTATCAGCAGAAGGTGGGGTATCAGCAGAAGGTGGGGCATCAGCAGAAGGTGGTGGACACAGAAGGTGGTGGACACAGAAGGTGGGGGACACAGAAGGTGGGGCATCAGCAGAAGGTGGGGCATCAGCAGAAGGTGGGGTATCAGCAGAAGTTCGGGTATCAGCAGAAGGTGGGGCATCAGCAGAAGGTGGGGCATCAGCAGAAGGTGGGGTATCAGCAGAAGGTGGGGGACACAGAAGGTGGGGCATCAGCAGAAGGTGGGGTATCAGCAGAAGGTGGGGCATCAGCAGAAGGTGGGGTATCAGCAGGAGGTGGGGTATCAGCAGAAGGTGGGGTATCAGCAGAAGGTGGGGCATCAGCAGAAGGTGGGGTATCAGCAGAAGGTGGGGCATCAGCAGAAGGTGGGGCATCAGCAGAAGGTCGGGCATCAGCAGGAGGTGGGGTATCAGCAGAAGGTGGGGTATCAGCAGAAGGTGGGGCATCAGCAGAAGGTGGGGCATCAGCAGGAGGTGGGGCATCAGCAGAAGGTGGTGGACACAGAAGGTGGGGTATCAGCAGAAGGTGGGGTATCAGCAGAAGGTGGGGTATCAGCAGAAGGTGGGGCATCAGCAGAAGGTGGGGTATCAGCAGAAGGTGGTGGACACAGAAGGTGGGGTATCAGCAGAAGGTGGGGTATCAGCAGAAGGTGGGGGACACAGAAGGTGGGGCATTAGCAGAAGGTGGGGTATCAGCAGAAGGTGGTGGACACAGAAGGTGGGGTATCAGCAGAAGGTGGGGGACACAGAAGGTGGGGCATCAGCAGAAGGTGGGGTATCAGCAGAAGGTGGGGGACACAGAAGGTGGGGCATTAGCAGAAGGTGGGGCATCAGCAGAAGGTGGGGGACACAGAAGGTGGGGCATTAGCAGAAGGTGGGGGACACAGAAGGTGGGGCATCAGCAGAAGGTGGGGTATCAGCAGAAGGTGGGGGACACAGAAGGTGGGGCATTAGCAGAAGGTGGGGCATCAGCAGAAGGTGGGGGACACAGAAGGTGGGGCATTAGCAGAAGGTGGGGGACACAGAAGGTGGGGCATCAGCAGAAGGTGGGGCATCAGCAGAAGGTGGGGCATCAGCAGAAGGTGGGGTATCAGCAGAAGGTGGGGCATCAGCAGAAGGTGGGGCATCAGCAGAAGGTGGGGCATCAGCAGAAGGTGGGGCATCAGCAGAAGGTGGGGGACACAGAAGGTGGGGCATCAGCAGAAGGTGGGGTATCAGCAGAAGGTGGGGCATCAGCAGAAGGTGGGGTATCAGCAGAAGGTGGGGTATCAGCAGAAGGTGGGGCATCAGCAGAAGGTGGGGCATCAGCAGAAGGTGGGGCATCAGCAGAAGGTGGGGCATCAGCAGAAGGTGGGGGACACAGAAGGTGGGGCATCAGCAGAAGGTGGGGTATCAGCAGAAGGTGGGGCATCAGCAGAAGGTGGGGTATCAGCAGAAGGTGGGGCATCAGCAGAAGGTGGGGCATCAGCAGAAGGTGGGGCATCAGCAGAAGGTGGGGGACACAGAAGGTGGGGCATCAGCAGAAGGTGGGGTATCAGCAGAAGGTGGGGCATCAGCAGAAGGTGGGGTATCAGCAGAAGGTGGTGGACACAGAAGGTGGGGTATCAGCAGAAGGTGGGGGACACAGAAGGTGGGGCATTAGCAGAAGGTGGGGCATCAGCAGAAGGTGGGGGACACAGAAGGTGGGGCATTAGCAGAAGGTGGGGGACACAGAAGGTGGGGCATCAGCAGAAGGTGGGGCATCAGCAGAAGGTGGGGGACACAGAAGGTGGGGCATTAGCAGAAGGTGGGGGACACAGAAGGTGGGGCATTAGCAGAAGGTGGGGGACACAGAAGGTGGGGGACACAGAAGGTGGGGCATTAGCAGAAGGTGGGGCATCAGTGGAATAAATTGGAGGAAGATCAAGAGAGTTGTTGTGGATTTGGAATAGGGAAAAGAGGGCTGCTGAGTTGGGGCGAGGAGATGGACAACAAGGTAAGAGGATTGAAAGAAAAGGATGTAGTTGCAAGAGCAGTGAGAGACTTAGAGGGGGAAGGGAGGTAACTCTGTACAGGGTACAGGATGATCAGGCAACACAAACTATCTGGGCAAATAGGCCTCTCTTTGGCCCAAAGTCCTTTAGCCCTTTATCCAAATACTACTAAACCACATCCTGATGTCAGTACAAGGTAACAAGAAGATCAACAGCATGGTTGGAAAAGGCAGCAAATCTAGTTGGGAACCCAGATATGTAGACTTGGAGCAACATTTAGACGCTCATTATTCCTGTTATATTTCTGTTGGGATTGTGTTGTTGGAGTACATGTGGGAGCACACTGTTACAGGTTACACTGCTGTGTGGGCCACCGGGCCTGGGGAAGACCACGCTGGCGCACATCGTTGCAAGGCATGCTGGCTACAATGTGGTAGAAATGAATGCCAGGTAATTCTTTGTTCAGAACACATAGTCTTTCATTTACAAGAAATCATTTACAAGACGCAAATCAAAGTAACATGCTTGTGAAAACCAATGCTTGACATGAGTTTCTGAAGGGTTGTATACTGTTAGTAGAAAACACATATGAAAACTTACTGTTTATGAAAGATAAATCAAATTGTTATCATAAAAGATTAACATAATATGTCAAAGATAAACTGTTTTGCGTAAATTTAAACATTACTGTTTATCGTAATTGAACTAAAATATTGAAAATGTTGTATATTTATATATATCTAGATCTAACGACAACAAAATTTGATATTTGAAAAACATGAATTGCACTAATGATATGTAATGTAGTGTTTCTCTAGAGACTGATGATCTGCATTAGAGATCATTTCGCTATTAGATACAACTTCACCGCTTGTCCTCTACTCAAGTGGGTTTTTGACTAAGTGGAAAAACTACTGACTGCTGACTGAAAGGCCCAAGATTTGACTACTGACTTGTAGCATCCCCCATCAAGACCCTCTCACATGCTTGACAACCAGTTTGTTTCGTTTCCTTGACTTGATGTGTTGGTAACTTTAATTCAGTGATGATCGAAGTGCTGATGTCTTCCGGAACAAGCTTGAGGCAGCGACACAGATGAAGGCGGTACTCGGTGCCGATCCCCGTCCCAACTGTCTGGTCATAGATGAGATTGATGGAGCTCCACAGGTCTGTTCTCTCACAGCTTCTCCATGTTCCGTAATTACTGTCAAAACCCAAAACATAAAGATGGAGACAAAGACAAGAACCTAGAAGTTCTGTATATTTTTTCCACTGCTGACTGCAAACTTACATATTCACCACAAAGAAACTGTTAACTGTACGACCAATAAGACCGGCATCAGAAAACATGGTAACACTGCACACATGGCAACATATTCAAATAACTTCTTGAAGAATGAAAACAAAATTTGAAATGTCTGTTTAATTTGTTTACACCTCCATACCTGGATTTTGCACACAAAAAGTCATAAAGAAAATTATGCATATGCAACTGCTAAAATTATTGGCTGACATTGTCATTAATTGAAATGTTTTCTTTTCCTCTGCCATACTTAACGTTGTAGGTCAGAACTTAAATAGTTTTCAAAATATCTTCCAGAAGACAGCCACTGGTGGCCAAGTTGTCTTAATTTGTGCAGAGTTGCCTCCCTTATGTGCGTCAGAAAACTACGATCATCGGTTAGAGTCTTAGTGTGCCCTAATTATGTTTTAGTCAGTCAACACCATCACCATCCTTATTAGTTCCACAAAAATGGTTAACGTCGGAGACCTGCATCAGTTCAGACTTTCCTCCTACATCAAGCTACATCACTGGAATACTGTTCAAAACGGCGTTAAACCAAACGCCATCCCTCTAACTTGTATAAAGGATGTCTGAAATTTGAACATTGTTGTTAATTGGTTCCCTTCTATTGTCAGGCAGCAATCAACATTTTGCTAAACCTTGTAAAGCGGACAGACCAGAGTACCACCAAGAAGAAGAACGAGGGCGGAATTCTGTACCGGCCCATCATTTGTATATGTAATGATCAGTAAGTTTGTCTTCATGTGCAGTGGGTGAATCTGTCTTTAATGATGCTATTGTTGTCACATTATTACAAACATAAAGTCAAGTGGTCCTTGTCATAACCGTACTGTTTAAAGTAAAAATTAAGACCTCAGCACCCCCAGCATCACATTTAACTTCCAATACTGTAATGAAATTACTTTATCCTTCCATGTTGTCATAAGATGCTGTGGTTTCATTTTCTCTTGAATTCTCATTTAAATTTTTTTTGCCATTCCACAAAGCGATCTTAGCGCTGGGCTGTCGCACCTCACTGATAAAGTATACGACTTAGAATCATCTTAGCACTACGACTGTCACGTGTCTACGAGAAATTATGGGACTTACAATCATCTTAGCGCCACAGCTTTTACACTTCCAGGATAGAGTATGGGACTTAGAATCATCTTAGAGCTACGACTGTCGCATGCCTACGAGAAAGTATAGGACTTACAATCATCTTAGCGCTACGACTGTCGCACCTCACTGATAAAGTATACGACTTAGAATCATCTTAGCGCTACGACTGTCACATGTCTACGATAGAGTAAGGGACTAACAATCCTCTTAGCGTTATGACTGTCACATGTTTATGATAAAGTATGGGATTTACAATCAACTTAGCGCTAAGATTGCTTTGTGGAGCAGGTCCCTCAAAGTGATCCGTGTGATCTCCCCAAACAGGTATGTTCCCGCCCTGCGTCAGCTGCGTCCCCTTGCGATGATTCTGCACTTCCCACCAACCGAGCCGACACGGCTAGCAAGCCGACTGTATGAGGTAGACACTTCAAAATGGTTCATCTACTTAAAATTAATGACAAAATCAGGTCGTGAAAGGCAGGTTTTCAGATTCCAGGATACTGAATCAAACTCCTCCTACTATGAACATTTTTTAGAATAAAAGTTGCCTGGCTGTGAATAAATGAATCTCACATCTCATTTCTCAAATTCTGGAACATTGACTGATTGATATTTCTCTTTAACTTCCCACTCCCTGTGGGGATAGCAGAATCGGTCCCCTACAAACTATGCCCGCAAAAGAGACGAATAAATGAATTGGATGATCCGTCTTGGTAATTTGGTTGACTGCATGTCATCGTACCCCAACGGTATGGATCGTTGCTCGCAATATCGATCACTTGATTGTGAGCACCCCACCGTCATATAGCTGGAATATTGCTGAGTGTGACATTAAACAACAAACAAACATCTTTTTTAAAATTTCAGTATTTCAAACAAGAGATTCTTAGCTGGGAATAAGTGAATTTCATTTGTTGATTGCCAGATTGTCCGGGAGGAGAGGATCAAGGCGGAGATGAATGCTCTGCTGGCTCTGTGTGAGAAGTCGGAGAATGACATCAGGTCCTGTCTCAATACACTGCAGGTACCCACATATTTACAAGACAGTGTATGTAAATGTGCATACCAGTGTTTGCATGTCCTTTGCAACATTTTCACATGTAGACATGTCTTTCAATTTCATAGAAGCATATATTACCATCCAAAGACCCTTCACCGATTCTGATTGGTCTAGTAAGCTCAGCTCATGATAGTCCATATAAAAACACTAAAATATACTGAAAATGTTTAGAGCCGTGCTCGGGGGAGCAAACTTAAAGGTACGCACAGGCTATCATTTTCATCAATTTCAGGGACGGTGTGGTAGCCTATTGGTTTAAACATTCGCTGGTCACATTTTCAATGTGGTGCTATTAATAGAAATATTTTTGTTTTTGTCAATTTGTCAAAACTATTGATTTCAAATCGGAATTTTCTTCCTCTAGTTTGTTCGGCAAAAGAGACAAGACTTTAACTTACGAGTTGTCCAGAGCATGACGGTGGGGCAGAAGGACTCTCACAAGAGTTTGTTCTCTCTGTGGTACCAGATCTTCTCCATGCCCCGAGCCAAGAAGTGAGTCCTAATCACAGCTATCTTCTCCATGTGAATACATTACAACTTTGTTATATACTCAAATGGTAGTACACCCTCTACCCGAGTTCCTAGCAGTGAACCTGGTACCTCTACCACAGGCCGGAGAGATGTGATGATTCAAATGGTATTAAGCTAGTACTAAGTAGAGTTGATGCAATGTCTTGCCATCTATCTTCATTGTTGTCATGTTTGTTTCTGGACAATAACTTTGACAGTGGATTTCTCGGAAAACTGTAAGAGGACTTGTCCTAAGAAAAAACTGCCTCTGAAAACTGAAAAAAAATGTGTGGGTTCATGTAAGTCTCCCTGTGGCAATCCGTCAAAGGGGATGCTCACAGGTCGTGAGGCCATTGCGTGTTATTGTGACCCGGCGGCATGGGATGTTGCTCATAACATCGACCACTGGATTGATCACATCCAGACTATTAATCAAGAATAGGCTTTAATGTTTAGTTTTCCATTTTTGCAGTGAATTAAATATTAAAATATCCGTGAATTTATCGTAAATTTTGTGTTTTCATTGACCAAATTTGCAAACGTCCAAACTAGCACACAAACTCCTATTGCTGCCATGATCATAACAAGAGATGCGCAGTAAAGGGAAGTAACTGCATGATATATTGGATCACGTTATTTTTAGTATTGCAGCTTTTCAATTGAATTGGGTGGTCAGGCCTGGTGACTTGGTTGATTGCAGTGTCGTCAAAAGCGTTCATTACATCAAGTATTGTGCAGCCGTAGCAATTTGTTTTGAGTAATTTGGACTAGTGGGTACCTTATTTGACTAGTCCTCAGAGTCTGTAGCTCGTCCTGCTTGAGTGAGTGAGTTTGGTTTTACGGCGCTTTCAGCAATATTCCAGCAATATCACGGCGGGGGACACCAGAAATGGGCTTCACACATTGTACCCATGTCGGGAATCGAACCCGGGTCTTCAGCGTGACGAGCGAACGCTTTAACCACTAGGCCACCCGACCGCCCTCGTCCTACTTGAACAAGGCAAATTGTTTCCCCTGTTTACATTTTCTGTCAGTTTTATTCAGTTCCAATTTGTGGCAAAATGGAAACATTGAGAACTGGTTCAGAATTGTTTCCCCTAAATGCTACTTGTCAATGAGGGCGACCATCACTGGCTGTGTCTTCAGCACAATTTAGTAGTCTCGGGCAAGACTGCTTGTGTGTCTGATCCTGACTCGATTATTCACAGGTCGCCTTGATAGCAGGAATATTGTTGACCGATGTGTAAAACAAGAAACAAAACAACATACCTTTGCCTTTTCTTCCCAGGAACAAGTTTGTGAATATCCATGACTTGAAGAATGGTCAGCAGGCACAGAAGATGGGAACTGTCACAGCTCCTGCAAACAGGTGCGTCATCAGATGTCACAGACAGTCTTTTTATGTATGGAATTTGACATGGTCTGATTGATAATTTAATGGGTCCTCGTTACATTAAAGATTATGATGTTTTGTGTTCTTCTGTGATGAGGATATATATCATGATGTATGTACACTAACACACATTCTATGTGGTGACCTTAACAGCTGCTGTGTAAAAATCAAATGTCCTCTGGTTACAGAGAGAAAACAACTCACTTATTTTCCCAGTGACAGGACCCCAGTGACATCTAGGTTGCAATTGGTTTTCAGCAACCCATGCTTGTTGTAAAAGACGACTAACAGGATTGGGTGGTCAGACTCGCTGACTTGGATGCATGTCATCGTATCCAAATTGTGTAGATTGATGCTCATGATGTCAGTCACTTGATTAACTGGTCCAGACTCAATTATATACAGACTGCCGTCATTTAGCTGGAAAATTGCTGAGTGCGTCGTTAAACAACAAACAAAGTAAAAGTAAAATCAAAGGGAGGTAAGCAGGTCATATTTCCTGCCTATTTAGACTGGTTGAGTCTAACATGTTTGCTTTTTGTTTCGGAGATTGTACTGTACAAAATGAATGTCCAGATTCCACACAGTGTTGCTGGCAGCACAGGCTGCTGGGGAGTACGAGAAGGTGACCCAGGGCGTGTTTGAGAACTACCTCGAGGCCAAGTGTAAAGATCCCAAGCTGGACGCTGTGAGTATCAGCTATACTCCCACCAACACTGCAGCTTACATGTCAAGTTCTACAAGCCCAAATAATTAGCTTCGAGAAAATGCACACTAGGCCCCTGAAATGTTGGTAATTCTTGCACATTCCCTACCCCTTTGCCAAATTCCTGTATTTCGGCTGTCATCACACTATAAAAATCTTCAGATTTTTCAACATAAGTCCTCTTCACTGTCAACTATCCTTCATTAGTTGTGCCACTAATAGTATCTCCCTTCCCAAGCCCCTTGCGCTTGCACCAGGCAGGAAACCTCTCTTCTTTCCTTTGTGGGCTTGGATTGCCTTAGCACAAATTTTGCTAATTCACACTTAACATTTCGATTATCAAGTTTATTGTTGTACAGCTTATTTATTCTACCTGTTTTAGACCGCCTCCAGGTCTAGTGGTAGAACGTCTCCCCGGCCGCGTCATACCAAAAGACGTTAAAAGATGGTACTTGTTACCCTGCCTGGCACTCAGCATTAAGGGGCTAACACAAGGACTGGTCAGTTCGGAGTCAGTATACTGTGTTTGAGTGGGGTGTTCATGTTAAACTGCGGCATGGTATCTCAGTGAGCTAGCACTATAAATCGGCATCAGTCCGGAATAGTACAAGCAACTACACACCACACCACACCACACCACACCACACCACACCACACCACACCACACCACACCACACCACACCAAACACACACACACACACTATATATATATATATATATATATATATATATATATATGTGTGTGTGTGTGTATATATATATATATATATATATTATAAGTGCAATAAACTTGGACTCAATATTAAACCCCATTTCACCTCACCGCTCCATTTGTCGGACTTCCAACACATAAATGAGTTAAAAGCAGGTGTAGTGACTAAACAAACAAATTAATATTATTTCAACCTTACAGCATAGTATGTGCTATGATAACAACTGAAGATGGCTACCTGTGTCGCTTTGTGTGCATCATGTGGAAATTTTTAATTATTAATTTTGAAGGCATTATCACTGTCGGAATTACAATTTCACAATCTTTTCCTCTGATTGAATATGTTACTTCATGAAGGTCCGACATACTCTCTATAGAAGATGGTGTCAGGTGAACTTAATCATCAGCCAAGACAGCCTGGAGGCTTCTATAATCTCAGTTTGGGGCAAAGCAATTGGAACAGCACATTTGATTTTTGTATCTCTGAAACGAACATTAACAGACAGTTCATTGACAAAATGAATGCTGAACAATTATATTCTGAACATATGCATAAAAAAGGGGCACTGCTTCAGAAAAAAGAATATTGTAAAAACAAATTTGTTTGGGCTCAAAACCTTTGCTCTATTTTGATTGGGGGTGTCAGAGTTCTCTGAGGATTCACCCGATGTGACCAATGGAGGGTTTGTCTTGTCGGAGAGAGGTATCAAATTGAGGAGAGAGGTATCAAATTGCAGTAAAACATCGGGTTTTAGTGAGATTAATTGGTTACTGGTGTTAAAGATCCCCTTTTTATATTGATGTCCTGTTGCAGGTATTCTGCTAAGATGTAGAAGAATCATTTAGGTCAATTCCATGATTGTTGACCATTTTCAATAGGTCTTACATTTTCTTTTCGAAAACTTTCTGGTCTTGAGACTTTTTGTAAGTCACTATGTCAGAGGCTAAGTAGACTTACATCTAGTCTCTGAAATGAACATATCATACATAAAAAAACAGTTGTTCAGTTATCTTAATAAAAATATAATAAAAAGGAGCCCAGTGACTCTCTTCATTTTCAGACTTGCATGGGCTGTATTTGATATATATTTGTATCAGGGTCTGTAAGACAGACTAGAGGCTAAGAATAGCAATCAGTATGAAACTTTCTATTGGTTTTGATAAACTGCATATTGAATCTAGAAATTTTACGTTTTCAAACACTACTGTGTGTTATGAACATACCGATGCAGCATTCTCAGATGACACGTTGCTCCCCAGTTAAACAGTGCCAACGACTGGCTGGTGTTCGTGGACTGTGTCAACAAGTACACCATGCACAAGCAGGACTACAGCCTCATGAAGTATGTGCCCTTCACCTTCGTCAACTTCCACCTGCTCTACGCCTCCTACCAGCCCCCCAAGATACAGTACCCATCCAGCAACTACGAGGTACAGGAACACTGAAACATAGAAATATAGGTCTTTTGTTACACCCAGTGGGTTAGAAACCCATTCAGATAACTGAAATATGTGTGAGATCAAATGTCTGCAATTGGCTACTCCATGGTGATGACCTAAGGTCAGATTATGATGGACTACTTTCCTGATTGCAATTCATTGATAAGTTTCTCGTGCTTCAGTCGATTCACCTATGTCTGACAAAACCTTATGGTTTTAGAGTGTGAATAAATGTTCTTTGATCTTATGTAGTTTGCATTATAATCATCGAAGTGATAGTCCTCTGATATGGCTCAATGTTATTGGGGAGGGTCACACTGGGTATGAGAAGTCAGCCGGATGACGTCACTCATGACTGTTGTTTTAGATATAAATGCGCCACTGCAATCATGAAAATAGAAAATATGCATTGATTCAATGCTAAAGTGGTGTGATTTTAGGATGTGTAAGAAACAGGTGACTTCACTTGTGCCTGTCATATGCCACTTATCTTACAACTTGCATCAAAACAAATGTAACTCATTTTCATCCGTTAGGCATAAAAAAGTAAAAGAATTGTTTCTCAGGCAATGACTTTTAAAAATATAGTATGGGCAGGCGGTGTTTTTTTTTTTTTTTTTGCTTGTTCAAACTAGTATGTAACCAAATGAACAGTTGTGTACCATCAACCTAGGAAAGGGCCTCCCTACATACACAAGCATACAAACTCCTATTGCTGCCATGACCATAACATGAGATGTGCATTAAGATGTGTGCCAAGCTCCTCACAGCGATAGTACGTTCCCGGAGCTCTCTATTACTATCGCTGCCACCAGTCAAAACTCCCCACTGTGAATAGGTGGCCACAACCATGCTTGGAGTTGAACTCGCAACCGAATGACCGTTATGTTTACAAACAAGTGACGACTGTCGTGACGCTGAATACACTTATCGCTGCTAAATTACTTTCTTCGTTTGTCAATTTGAATTTCTGTTTCATTAAAACTATCGTGTTATTGATATAGTAAGAATGTAAGGGAGAAGTTGGTTGATTTTCCGTTAGCCTGCAATCTCGAATTTACCGTATTTTCTTGAGTATAGTGCACACTTTTTTTCCCAAAAACACAGCTGTGTGGAAGGGGGTGCGCATTATACACGAATTAATGAGTTTTGATGTTTTTTCCCCCATGGAAAGACATTACCGTGAGCACGTAACACCGGAAATACCATGTCAACAAATCCATACTGAAGTCGGTAGTTTACGTATTAGTACGGTACCGGTAGTTTAGATTAAGCAGGTTTTGTTCACAAAAGAGTAAATGGGACTGGATACAAGTTCTCCAACTTCTTCTCTCAGGTATTGAACAGAACAGTGGGAAGAAAAGAATAGGACTGGTAAGTGAACAGTGAGAACCAATGGTACATCAGGTTGCACTAGTGCATATTTTATGCAGTTAAATCCATCCCTGTTGTGTTCGTAACAGGCGACTATGCTTGTCCCAATAGGCGACTAACGGGATCAGGTGGTCAGGATCACTGACTTTGTTGATGCCTGGATCGATGCTCATGATGTCAATCACTGGATTGTTTGGTCCAGACTTGATTATTTATAGACCGCCGTCATATAGCTGGAATATTACTGAGTGCCGCGTTAAACAACAAACAAACAAACAAAGTATTACACTGTTTTTGCAGTCACTGTGCTGTCAAGAGTCCAGACTGGATATAAGGCTAAAAAAATAATAATCTTGGTTCCCAGGCACCGCTTGCATCATCATGAAGTCTGCCGCACGTTTCCTTTTTATATTTCCATTTTAAAAAATAATCTTTAAAATTCCCAGTCTCGAACACACGACCCAGGCAGTGAAATGTTAGAATTCTTAACAACTGTGCAATCCAATATTGTGTGCAGTTACTTCCCTTTACATGCTCACTGGTTTACTGTGTATCTTGTGTAATGGTCATGGTGGCAATAGGAGTTTGTGTGCTTGTTTTACTGTTTGCAAATTTGGTCAATGAAAACATGATATTTACGATTAAACATCCTAAGACATGATGATTGTCATTTGTGTACTGTATGCTGGACAGTGTATCATATGCAGAGATTAAGATTACATGTGTGTGTTTGTCTCATAAAATAAGCCGGATAATGCAGTCAGTTGTTTATGGGTGATTTAGTTTTCAAAATACTTAATGTCAAGGCCGATATCATAACTGAAAAGAAATTTCAATACAGTGGTAGGAAGATCGAAGACTTTGTATAACGACTAATGTTTGTTTCATGGTGAGTTGATGTGATTTGCCGATCAGTTCATACACAATTTTGCCAAAATTAATGTAAAAATGAAATGGAACCTTGGATAAAAGTAGTATAATGGATTACAAAGGTAAGTCCAGATACACCATGAACACTTGTATAGCCAGATGGTGTAGTAATAGGCCTAACTTGTGTACTTCAGTACGGATTTGGTTACATACTAGTTTGAACGACAACAAAAAAACAACCCAAAAAATACTAAAATACACCACCCTCCAGCAGTATATTTTCAAAAGCCATTGCCTGAGAACAAATTCTTTTATGTTTTTAAGCCTAAGCATGTGTATGACAAAATATATATATATTCTTCTGAAAAAATGTATTTGTGTATAGCACATTACCCGACTCTCCAAGACCACCAACCTGGTCACGTGCATGTTCGCTGACATGTCCCCCACTGTGAAGAAGTTCATCAACACCAAGAATGCAGTTCTCGACATGCTGCACCCCATGCTGCAAATCATGCAGCCCACCCTTAGACCCGTGAGTACCATCCTTGTGTACCAACCTCAGACCCATAAGTATCAACAATGTGTACCACCCTCAGACCCATAAGTATCACCTGCATGTACCACCCTTAGACCTGTAAGTATCACCTGTATGTACCACCCTCAGACCCGTAATTATCACCCGTATGTACCACCCTCAGACCCATCTGTACTGCCCTCGGACCCGTAAGTATCTCCTGTATGTACCACCCTCAGACCCGTCAGTATCACCCGCATGTACCACCCTCAGACCCGTAAGTATCACCCGCATGTACCACCCTCAGACCTGTAAGTATCACCCGTATGTACCACCCTCAGACCCGTAAGTATCACCCGTATGTACCACCCTCAGACCCGTAAGTGTTACCGGCATGTACCACCCTCAGACCCATAAGTATCTCCTGTATGTACCACCGTCAGACCCGTCAGTATCACCCGCATGCACCACCCTCAGACCCGTAAGTATCACCCGTATGTACCACCCTCAGACCTGTAAGTATCACCCGCATGTACCACCCTCAGACCCGTAAGTATCACCCGTATGTACCACCCTCAGACCCGTAAGTATCACCCGTATGTACCACCCTCAGACCTGTAAGTATCATCTGTATGTACCACCCTCAGACCCGTAAGTATCACCTGTATGTAATACCACCCTCAGACCCGTAAGTATCACCCGTATGTACCACCCTCAGATCCGTAAGTATCACCCGTATGTACGTCCCTTAGACCCGTAAGTATCACCTGTATGTCCCACCCTTAGACCCATAAGTATCACCCGTATGTCCCACCCTTAGACCCGTAAGTATCACCTGTATGTAGTACCACCCTCAGACCCATAAGTATCACCGGCATGTACCACCCTCAGACCTGTAAGTATCATCTGTATGTACCACCCCCAGACTCGTAAGTATCACCCGTATGTACCACCCTCAGACCCATAAGTATCACCCGTATGTCCCGCCCTCAGACCCGTAAGTATCACCCGTATGTAATACCACCCTCAGACCCGTAAGTATCACCTGTATGTCCCACCCTAGACCCATAAGTATCACCCGTATGTACCACCCTCAGACCCGTAAGTATCACCCGTATATCCCACCCTCAGACCCGTAAGTATCACCCGTATGTACCATCCTCAGACCCGTATCACCCGTATGTCCGACCCTCAGACCCATAAGTATCACCTGTATGTACCACCCTCAGACCCGTTAGTACTTGCTTGATAACGGTGTTAGAACCTACACCAAAACGTCGCTCCTAATTGTAAGAAAGTAGTTGCTCATCCACATATCTTATTTTCACTTCTAAATGCCTCTCAAAGAAGTAAATTAGACTCCCTGATGGACAAAAACTGAACATATGCTGGCTACATGTTAACAGTGTTACAGGAATATATGTAGGATTCCAAACGAAGTGCCCTTGCAGATAAATTGGGAATTTTTTCTCTTAAATTCGTTCAATTCAGAAATGTAACTGATAACATTGGTCCTATACAGGAAGTAACCGCTGCAGAGCCACATTAGTTGAAAGTATAACATGACTTCATTCCGGAACTTTAACTGACATTTGCTGCTGACTTGGAGCCGAATTTCAGCCTCGGAGCAGGTGTAGATAAATCCCTGTGTTACTACAGGAGCCTGAAATAACATTGTCTGTCATTCCCAGGTGAATACTCAGCTGTACAGCAAGCGAGAGAAGGAGGAGCTATCTAACCTGGTGCGGATCATGATCGCCTACAACATGACGTACCACCAGGAGAAGTCTCCAGAGGGGCAGTACAGCTACGTGCTGGATCCGTGAGTTGACCTGACAGCACATAACTTGTCCATATGTCACTCAGCTTCTGCATAGATCAGACAACATGCTACAGAAGAAGTGTTTGGGTTGAGACATTGTAAGACCCGTGAAAATCCGGGTAGAGAATAGGTCTTCAGTAACCCATGTTTGCCGTAAGAGGCGACTATGCTTGTTGTAAGTGGTGACGAACGAGATCTGGTGGTCAGGCTCGCTGACTTGGTTGCATGTCATCATATCCCAATTGCTCATGATGTCAGTCATTGTCTGGTCCAGACTTGATTATTCACTCACTCACTCACTCACTCACTCACTCACTCACTCACTCACTCACTCGGGTAGACAGGTGGTTAGAGTTACCTCGTCACGCCGAAGACCTCATTTCTGGTGTCCCCCACCGTGATATTGCTGGAATATTACTAAAAGCGAAGAAAAACCATACTCACTCACTCACTCACTCACTCACTCACTCACACACTCACCCACCCACCCACCCACCCACTCACTCACTCACTCACTCACTCACTCACTCACTCACTCACTCACTCACTCACTCACTCACTCACTCACTCACTCACTCACTCACTCACTCACTCACTCACAGGTGTATAATAGGCTATGTTTTTATGACCTGTTTGTTTTCTTCAGGAATGTTGAAGAAATTGTGAAATTTCCCGGAATGAAACAACAGCGGCAGTTGACCTACGCAGCCAAACAGCTGATAGCCAGAGAGGTATGTCACGTCTAACTGCGCCAGCCCCATCAACCATGGGTTGGACTGACAGACGAGTACAGTGACCACTGTGAGTCAAACTGCTAGGCCCTGTCACCCACTGGTTTGACTGACAGACGGATACAGTGACCACTGTGAGTCAAACTGCTAGGCCCTGTCACCCACTGGTTTGACTGACAGACGGATACAGTGACCACTGTGAGTCAAACTGCTAGGCCCTGTCACCCACTGGTTTGACTGACAGACGAGTACAGTTACCACTGTGAGTCAAACTGCTAGGCCCTGTCACCCACTGGTTTGACTGACAGACGAGTACAGTTACCACTGTGAGTCAAACTGCTAGGCCCTGTCACCCACTGGTTTGACTGACAGACGAGTACAGTTACCACTGTGAGTCAAACTGCTAGGCCCTGTCACCCACTGGTTTGACTGACAGACGAGTACAGTTACCGCTGTGAGTCAAACTGCTAGGCCCTGTCACCCACTGGTTTGACTGGCAAGGCTGGCTGCTGTGCAGCTTGCTGTCTACGACAGCTAGAATCATACAAGTAAACTGGACAGACGACTTTCACTTAGATGGCCCTGAATGAAGTGCATTTGAATTCAGTTATCTGCAACTCCAGGAAACCAGAGAAATTACCATGTGAGCTAGCTATCAGACCACAGAAAGCTAACGTACATCATGCATGTTATGTAAATAACATTTCCAGAATCAGAAACACAAACAAGGAATCTCATTAAAATAAGATCTTAGTTCTCGCTACCGCTAAACAAAGATCTGAGGACATCCCATTATGGTTCACGTCAGACCGACCTTGCGCGAATTTTGACCGACCAATGGAATGACCAATCAGAAGGCAGCTTTCTCATGCTTTACGGCACTAATTTCAAATTGGCGACTACGCTTTGAAACGTATTTTGACAAATTCTCGATTACAAATTTGAAACCTGAACAAAAGAACATTCTGGAATGACTAATAGATGGTCTAGATTGTATGGATACAGTCGTTAAACACGTAACTATCGTTCAGAGTTAAAGTTTTCAAGGCTGCATGATCAGAGATTACATTCCGACTGTCACTTTCATAATCTGGTAAGCGATGCTCTGATTAGTCAGATGAAAGGTCGTTCTGACGTGACCCGTAATGGGATGTCCTCAGATCTTTGTTTAGCGGTAGCGAGAACTGAGGTCTGATTTTAATGAGATTGCACAAACAAGCATTTGTTATCTACATTTATGCATTTGTATCACTGTTAAGACCATTATACTTGTTACAATTTTTATGCTAAATTGTGTTTAAAATCTTTAGTTAGACTTATCTGGGTAAGTTTTAACTTATTTATACTCTTGCGACTATTGAGTTTGAGTTAACATGGAATTCAATACTTCCAGTTTGACAATACTTCCAGGTTAAAATAGTGATGAATATAGAAAGAGTTTGTTGGAATCTGACTTGAGTTCGACACATCTGGGGATACGAAACATCAGAGCATATGACTCATTCAGAATGTCAAAAGAATGTACTTGGCATGGTGACATAAAAGTTTTCATAATATAGTAAACTCATTTATAATGAACACGCTTATAACGAACTGACGGATATAACAATCTGTTTTGGGGTCCCATCCATGTGTATACATGCTGTATCTGCTTATAACGAACCATAGTTATAACAAATTAAAACTAGTGGTCCCTTTGAGTTCGTTATAACCGTAGTTTACTGTATACTATTCTACTTTTGATAGGGATATTTTTATCTTTCAATGAACACACGACTGATCCTTTTAATATTTCAAGTGTGTATTTAAATATGTAATAGGTAATAATTTATTATCCTTCTCAAATGTTGGGAAGTGTATGTACACAAAACCTCTGTCAGCTTCAAGCAATTCTAAGGCATCCATATTTGCTAGTGACAAACGAATTTAGATATTTGTCAAGTTAAGTAGATTTAAAAAAAATTGTTTGACACCTGAACGAGATGAGGTCATATCTGTTTGTACTTGCTGATTGTGTACTTTTCCTCTCTCATCTTCTATTCAGATAGAGCTGGAGAGGATGAGAATGAGTGAGGTAAAGCTGGCGGTTAGGAACACGTGAGTTGTCTCCCTTCTTGATCTCGTGTTAACCCACTCATGTTAATTCCTGGGAGCATGGTTATATTGGTGTGCGGTATTACCAGTATACCACAATATGAAATACAAGCGAACACGTCACAATATGTTCGGAAAATACCGGTATGTTGCGCTTTTCGAAATCATGCATATTTTCATCTTGTAGGTAAAGTTTACAAAAGTGACAGGCCAATACATTAGTAATGTTTATAACATGTCATGTTTGGTTTACCAGTTCTTAAAATCCGCGATACATTGTTGTTCTGTTTTGGTTTTATTTGAGCCCTGAAATTCATGACATTTGTTTGAAATTTGACCTCAATAATGAGAAGACAGTGCCAATGTGCTGGTTCATCACAAGATGAATGCGGCTTGACATAGTTCCAGCCTGAAGAAGCTACTGCCCTCATGTAGTGTGGAAAGACATTGTGTATCAAGTTCAAAATGTAAGGGAGGTAATCTATAAGACATAAAACGGGAAATTAATTGAAACCAATAATGTACATTCGTGACCAACTCGTGTTATTCAGGGACAAGCCGAATAGCGACCACTTTTGCGACCGGGTTCCGTCTTAGCGCAAACGGGCATACCTAAAACAATTGTCAACTTGTTGCGTAATGGTTCACACATTTTCCCCATTTATTATATATATTTCAGATGCAATTTAAAGCACTTCGGGACATACAAACACATTTAACTGTGTCTTTGGCATATTTTTAGAGGCAAGACATATGTAAAATCAAAAATTATTTCTGAGGGATTCTTTGACGAAGAACTTGAAAACATATGCGCATTCTGATTGGTTTGTCGTATTTTCGCACATAACATTCATCGATAGGGGGACGAGTCTTCTAGCAGGTGATGGAAAGGGGCGAGTAGTGACGAATGCAATAATGTACATATGGTTTTAACATGCTAGGGTTGATTTTTGAAAAATTATTTTGTTTAATTTGACAAACTAAGAGTTTGTCCCCGTGTTAATGCATGACATCAAAGGTTCCTTGTCTATGTTGGTGGCCAATTGTTCAACTGCATCTGGTGTACTTGAATGTGCGAATGTGAAAGAGAAGGAAAACTTTCATTGGAATGTGTGTTGTATTTTTGTACCCAAGTGTTGTACAAACCTTGTATTCTCCCAGCGGTTCTGCTCCGGACTTAGAGCCAATCAAGGACAACATCCCAGCTGTACCCAACCACAAGAGAAAGCTGGAAGCTAAACCCCTCCTTGAGGATAAGGTGAGTTGGGGCAGGCTGCTAATCTGTCATGAAACGGACTGGTTATTTTGGATGGTGTGATTCAGATGAGGGTCACAAAATAAAAAATTTAGTGTATGCAAAGCTTACGTGGATTGTCAGAGTAAATACGAAATATTGGAGTGATACAAAAATATTTTTGTGTGTCAATGTTAATTATAGGAACATGGGTCAAGATTTAACTGAATATACACCATACAAGGGTCAATCTCTTTAAAATCAGATCTTAGTTCTCGCTATCGCACAACAAAGATCTGAAGACATTCCATTAGGGGTCACGTCAGAACGACCTTTATTCGACCAATCAGAACATCGCTTACTAGATCATGAAAGTGACAGTCAGAATGTAATTTCTAATCATGAAACCTCGAAAAATTTAACACGGGGTATTCCGAACGATAATTACGGGCTTAAAGACTGAATCCATACAATCTAGACCATCTATTAGCCATTTCGAAATGTTCTTTTGTTCAGGTTTCAAATGTTTTAAAGAGAATTTGTCAAAATATGTTTCGAAGCGTAGTCGCCAGTTTGAAATTAGTGCCGTAAAGGACGAGAAAGCTGCCTTCTGATTGGCTAATGTCGACTTCTTGTCAGTCATTTCATTGGTCGGTCAAAGTTCACGCAAGGTCGGTCTGATGTGAACCGAAATGGGATGTCCTCAGATCTTTGTTTAGCAGTAGCGAAAACTAAGATCTGATTTAAATGAGATCGTAAAAGGGTTTCATTGTCCAAAGGTCGCAGACACCAGTGTCACAGCTAAAGGATTTGCTCAATTGACTGAAGTTTTTGTAGATATATACCTATTTGAATCATGGAATGTTCACAACAAGAGATTTCACTGTTAGGCATTTCCTTCTATGTGAGACTTAGAAATTATCAATCACACCTTGTATATGTCTGGATTAATTATTCATTTCACTACTGAAACTCTCCACTGTTGATTCTGGGTGAGAACATCTTCCCAAGGCAAGAGAGCTAACTGACCATAAAAGTCCTGTTTCCACCCTTGCCGAACTAGGCTGGTATTATAGAGTTACAGTTTGGCTGGACTAACGAGTCTATGCATAGTCCAATCAAAATCGCGCAACGAAATCGAAATCCGGTTCATAAACTGTCACGCAGATTTCGGTCGATTGCAGTATTTGCAAAGAATGTGCACCTCCAACTCGTCAACAGATATTTTCCAAACCTTTTCATGTTTTTTGTGCGAAATTTGATGCAATTCGCGATGTAAGACCCGTTTTATCACAACATAGATCTTGATTAACAATCAGATTGTCTTGACTAGGCGCCACCGTTCTGTTTGAAACAAATGCAAGTGATGGAATCGGATTGGTCCATAGGAGAGGCTTAGAAGGGACATAACTTAGAGCTCTGGAATTCCAGCCAAGTTCGGCAAGGGTGGAAAGTCAGTTAACTCTCTTGCCTCGGGAAGATGGGGTTAGAATAGATCCTAAGCAACCTGTGCTTGTTGTATGAAGCGACTGAATGGATCAAGCTGTCAAACACTTGCCTTGGTTGATCGTGTGTCATTGTGCCTCGACAACCTGAAGCGTTGCTCATGATATATTTCATTGGATTGTCTTGTCCAGACAGGAATATTTACAGGCCGCAGTTTCATAGCTGTAATATTGCTGCGTGCGGCTTTAAGCAACAAACAAACACTACAAGTATCAATCCAAATATTTGCTTTTTATTTCCTTTCAGCCTATGAAAAATTTCTTTGGCAACTTCACAAAAACAAAAAGATCCTCTACTACTGTCAGCGCCGAAACGAAGAAGTCCCCAGAGGGAGCTAAAAGTAAGTCATGTCATGTACTGGACTAGGAGGTAGATCTATCAGAGAGAACAATCAGCTGTATACCGGGGTGATCATTAAATATTTTTCAGGAAGACCATCAGATATATATCGGGGTGATCATTAAATATATTTCAGGAAGACCATCAGATATATATCGGGGTGATCATTAAATATATTTCAGGGAGACCATCAGATATATATCGGGGTGATCATTAAATATATTTCAGGAAGACCATCAGATATATATCGGGGTGATCATTAAATATATTTCAGGAAGACCATCAGATATATATCGGGGTGATCATTAAATATATTTCAGGGAGACCATCAGATATATATCGGGGTGATCATTAAATATTTTTCAGGAAGACCATCAGATATATATCGGGGTGATCATTAAATATATTTCAGGAAGACCATCAGATATATATCGGGGTGATCATTAAATATATTTCAGGGAGACCATCAGATATATATCGGGGTGATCATTAAATATATTTCAGGAAGACCATCAGATATATATCGGGGTGATCATTAAATATATTTCAGGAAGACCATCAGATATATATCGGGGTGATCATTAAATATATTTCAGGGAGACCATCAGATATATATCGGGGTGATCATTAAATATATTTCAGGAAGACCATCAGATATATATCGGGGTGATCATTAAATATATTTCAGGAAGACCATCAGATATATATCGGGGTGATCATTAAATATATTTCAGGGAGACCATCAGATATATATCGGGGTGATCATTAAATATATTTCAGGGAGACAATCAACTTTTTTATATATATACTTCAGTGTGAAAGAGAGTTTTCACTGCAGTGAACATAACACTTGATGTTTCACTGCAGTGAACATGCTTTGATGGAACTATTGCCGTACAAGATTTACCTCCCCTGAAATTGTCTCCCTTTATCTTAAGTGTCTGGCCCCTTACACAAACAGTTGACGTTGACAGATGGTTGTTTATGGAGTTAATATCGCTTCTGGCCATTTGCTATTCTCTCGGAAATGCTTCGTTTTAAACTGTAAATTTAACTCCTCAATCGAGACTGTTTTGCAGAGCGCCATTTTTGTTACCCGGTACTTGACCAGCGTGTATTCTTTCGCTTCCAAAAGCCGTCTTGTAGTTTTCAAGAATATTTGTTGTTAAAGTTGATTTTGCGTATAATCATATCTAAATGTATGATAAAGAATTTTTGTGACCCTAAATAGTTTTTGATACTTTTGTTTATATTTTTTAAGATTTTGCTACGTTTTAGTCGCAAATACAAGATGTGGTAGATCGTCACTCTGTGTTATGTAGGGCTAATTTACATTTCACGGTTTTACATGTTCATTTCAAGGACTTATCATGTTCTCTCATCTTGTGACGGGGGGAAAAGGAAATATTTTCACTCATGGCTTTGTCTTTCATGAAAATATCACATTGCCCTGTCACTCAATGAGAGAAACATGATATTTCACTGGACACATGAAATATCCTCTTTATATTAGAGACATATAATATCCTCTATATATTAGAGACCCATCAAATATGTATCACGGAGATCATGAGATATATATAAGGGAAACAAGCAGACTGAGATCACGGAATAGAAAACACTGCTCAAGACATAAAGTATATTATTCATGCGTTTAATATTTTACAGTACTTTTAAAATAGAATTCCCACAAAAGCCACAGTTACCCTGAGACATACTTGAACTTGTCGTTGATACTGTTGTGCTCACTGTTCCTTTTGTAAGACTATAAATCATGATTGTTCAAGACTCCCAATGCTTGTGTGTGGTTTCAGACAAGAAGGACGTGCTGGCCACAGATATCTGGTTCCATTTCAAGGAAGGATTTTCCAACGCTGTCCGAAGAACAGTCCGTGTCCAGGACTTCTTGTGAGACACAGCGCCAGCTTAACATTCAGCTGAACTTGATGTGCACAGGTAGCATCGTGTATACACTGATGAAGGAGAACTCGTGGACTGGATGCCCTGGGGCGGTGTATGGACCTGGTACATCACCATGTCTGTGATGGTGATGTATTACATTGTTCAATGTATAAACATCCCCATGTCTGTGATGGTGATGTATTACATTGTTCAATGTATAAACATCCCCATGTCTGTGATGGTGATTTATTACATTGTTCATTGTATAAACATCCCCATGTCTGTGATGGTGATTTATTACATTGTTCAATGTATAAACATCCCCATGTGTGTATAAACAGTGTTGAACGGAACTGGTGCAGTCAGAGACCCTGGAGGTTTGGGAGAATTGTTGCAAGATGGCCGAGGTTTTGCCAAGATTGCCAAAAAGTTTTGCTTCAGTGGGTGCAGAGCTACTTCACCTGTATCACGGCAACCTATAGTTAGTATAAATGAGTCCTCCAGGAAAACCAGTGATGGATGAAGAAGAGACTGTGGAGAAAGACAAATTGTAACCACTGGACTGTTTGTGACAGACAATGGTTTTTCGGACCCTCGAATCAACAGCAACTCGGCATTTCACGATTTATTGAGCAGGGGCCAGTGATTTCTTCATATAGCTTCATTAAAGCTCTACAGGGCTAGGTTTAAGGACCTAGATACAGCTTTCACTTGGTTCATAGTGACATCAAAACCTTGTACCAGACTAAACCCATGGAGTGAGTGAGTGAGTATGGTTTTACGCAGCTTTTAGCAATATTCCAGCAGTATCACGGCGGGGGGACACCAGAAATGGGCTTCACACATTGTACCCATGTCGGGAATCGAACCCGGGTGTTCGGCGTGACGAGCAAACGCCTTAACCACTAGGCTACCTGACCGCCCCCTAAACCCATTAATAACTATACTGGCTGAACCTGTTCTTGAAGTCTAGGTCACCAACATTACTGGTAATACTTGTAACAAAGCCTGACATACTGCCACAAACAGAACCACTTCTGTTGTCACTGCATGACTTATTATCAAAATAATTTTGACCTGCACTGGGTGTATATAGAAATAAATATAGGGTGGATTAACTTTTTTCATATCAGGTTCACTAATGCGTGTTTTATATGGTTGAATCTAGCCCTGGATTTACCTCCGTATATATGGGCTGAGACGATTTAGTTCATGTGGGGCGGTCAGGTAGCTTAGTGGTCAAAGCGTTCACTCGTCACGCCGAAGACACGGGTTCGATTCTGGACATGGGTACAATGTGTCAAGCCCATTTCTGGTGTCCCCTGCCGTGATATTGTTGGAATATTGCTGAAAGCGTCGTAAAACCTCACTCACTCACACATTGATGTGTTTGTTTTGTTGTGTACAGATTATGGATGTTAAAGCTGTTGATACAGAAATGTATTTTGTTCATTATTTATCTCTTTGTGAATTTTGTATAGAACCTTGTAAAAATCACTTGTATGTCAGTGTAACTGAATTATGTCTTTGTCGCATCAAGTAAAATGAAATCATGTATATTGTAAAACCTTGTTTTGTGTTGACTTTATGTTATCATGACCAGTTTTATAAACAGCGGTCCCAGGCGGGTAGCAAGAAAATATGGAATTTGGAAAGTGATTTAATTTCTTCAAGACATTTTGCAAGATATCTGTGTTTTATAGCTGATTTGAAGGGTTGATTGATCTTCTGAACTTGTCAACCACACAGAGGTAATAATATTTGACATTTCAAATCTCAATTTCTCATAAATAAATGGAAACTAATTGTATTGCACTTTTTACATTGCTTCATGCCTCAGCGGGGGCACGGGTGGCCCTGTCGTCTGTGCAGAGTTGTGTCCCTTGGGCACGCCAGAAACCTATGATTGTGGGTTCGAATCCTGGTTCGCCCCGATTATGTTTCTAGGTTTGTCAGCACCATACCCGTGCTCGTGGGTTTCACCGAAGTGGTAAACGTCTGAGACCTGCATCACTTCGGGCTTTCCTCCCACATTAAGCTGACACGCTGTGATATAACTGGAATACTGTTAAAAGCGGTGTTAAACCAAACTCACTCACTCACTAGTGCCTCAGCCATAATGGTCTAGTCAGGTCTTTTCTCTGCCACTGTTTCAAGCTCGCCTAGAAACTTTCTTTTCGGCATTTACTGACAGAGGTTAATAAATTCTGAAAAAGTTCACAGTACCCAGGGTACTTGCCCAAATTGATATTTATAAATTCTCTTTGTTCCCAGTGCAGCACTCATAATTCTGTGATCGGTGTTGTCTATTGTCACAAGAGCAAACATTCTGCTTACATCATGGACACTAACATACATCAAAGGCAGTATCCCAAAACATTTAGTTCAAATTAGAATAAATTTTGGGGGGATTTTTCACATCTATTTTCTTTACCTGAATGACGAGAGAGGAGGGATGCTTTGGATTTGCAGTTGCACGTGAGACACTAGTAGTTAGGTCTCTCACAAATGATCAAACTCTTGATGCATAGAACGTGACCTGATGGCATACATCAAGTTAAATGTCAACATAATTGTCTGAAGAAAAATAATTTTTTATTCATTTAACATTCATGATTGAGTACCTTGTGTCTGTGCCAAATACGACTGAAAAGATAATCTTGGGGAAAATTAGCAACTTTTAAAATTTGTCAACCCATGAAATTTCCAAGCTTACAGTGATGTATTGGTGTCGACTAGTAACAGAAGAGAGCTTGTATATCTATCTCCATGTGGAACAGTTTTAGACAGATTATCAGATCATTTCACCCAATGTGGAAACTTTCTGTATAAATACAACATTGTTCCACTGCAGTATCGAAATTCATGTAAAGAAAACGTCAAGAGTGGATACAAAGAAAATTAGAAATAACAATTGGAGTTATTGGCCCTACGAAGTGATTAATAGATATTTCCATAAAACATTCACTGACAATTTAATAACTAAAACAAATGATTAGTTATGTTGCCTGTTTAAAAAAGAAATATTTATGGACAGTAACTAGATATAGGCAGAAAAGGGTTGTTTCTTTGCCTTCCTGTAATATTACATAGACCGATGAAATCGGTTTTGACACATCGTTGCTCCGGAAGCCGGGACTATTTGCTGAAGCAAATCGAATAGTGGTTGTCAGAAGTGACTGAAGCATACGTACAATGTCTTCCTGCATGGCGTTCTCGGGGTGACTTTAAACGATAGTGAATCAGTTCCCACGTGCCAGTGTCTCGTCTTGTGGAAGGAGGCAACGCCCTCCAGGAATTGTGGCCATCCATGCGTGTAGCTCAGCACTGAGGCGAACGTGAATAAACCAAAAGCACGTGTCAGCAACACGCTCAAGGTCACCACATGAATAGGATGAGTCACCCTTACTATTCCAGACACCTTACTATCCGGACGACCGCCTCCGTGGTCTAGTGGATAGAGCTTCTGCCAGGAGAGTGAAAGTTCTGTGTTTAGAACCCCGGTCCGTTATGCCAAGATACGTTAAAAGATGGTACTTGTTGTTACCCTGCTCGGCGCTCGGCATTTTGTGGCTAAGACAAGGACTGGTCGGCTCGAAGTCAGTATACTTGTCGAAGTGGGGTATACATGTTAGACTGAGGCATGCTATCTCAGTGGGCTAGCACTATAAAAGTAGACACACGCAAGTGACAATGATGCCATGGACAGATAATGTGATACGAAGAAACCCCAAAAGCAGTTAAAAAAGTGCTTTGGGGGTTTCTTCCCGTGAAGATCCGGGGTAGAATAGGTCTTCAGTATCCCGTGCTTGCCGTGAAGGGTGACTATGCTTGTCGTAAAAGTCGACTAACGGGATCGGGTGGTCAGGCTCGCTGACTTGGTTGATGCATGTCATCGATCCCAATTGCGTGGATCGATGCTCATGATGTCAATCACTGGATTGTCTGGTCCAGACTCAATTATTTACAGACCGCCGTCATATAGCTGGAATATTGTTGATTGCGGCGTTAAACAACAAACAATCAAATTTTAAAAAGTAGTCAAATAACTATACGGTTTCTCTTTGTTTGTTTGTTTGTTGTTTAACACCACACTCAGCAATATTTCAGCTATATGACGACGGTCTGTAAATAATCGAGTGTGGACTTGACAGTCCCGTGTTTGTGTTCATGAGCATCAAAGTAACAAAGTAGACACAGCTTTGTTTACTGTATTTAAAGGGGGCACGGGTGGCCCAGTCGTCTAAGGCGCCGCGATTCGCTGTGCAGAGTTGCGTCCCTTGGGCATGCCAGAAACCTATGATTGTGGGTTCGAATCCCGGTTCGCCCCGATTATGTTTCTAGGTTTGTCAGCACCATACCCGTGCTCGTGGGTTTCACCGAAGTGGTAAACGTCTGAGACCTGCATCACTTCGGGCTTTCCTCCCACATTAAGCTGACACGCTGTGATATAACTTGAATACTGTTAAAAGCGGCGTTAATCCCAACTCACACTCACTACTGTATTTAAAGGCGACGTTCCGGTATAAATCCGTTTTCCTTTTTTTTATCAAACGGTAGATTCATGAGCATCAATCTACATCAACCAAGTCACCGAGCCTGACCACCCGATCTCGTTAGTCGCCTTTTACGACAAGCATGGGTTGCTCAAGACCAATTCCAACCCGGATTTTCCCGGGTCAATTCGTTTTTTGTATTTCAATATGTGGTTGTCAAAAGATAATGTGTGATTTAAAAAGCATGGTGTTGATAAAAGCCTCCCAAGTCATGCTAAGTCACTTGGATTTAAGGGGGCACGGTATCTCAGCCGTTAAAATGCGCCACAGTTTCTCCTAAATGCCATGCCAGGCTCCGTTGATCGTAGGATCGAATCCGGGAGTCGCCATGAATGAGATTGGGCTGGCTGGACTGTCAACACTGTGTCCATGCTTGTGGTAGCCTAATAGATGGAGCGTTCGCTCGTCACGGCGACTGTGTTCCCTGTCGTGATATTGCTGGCAAAGAGCTGCGAAAAACCCAACTCCCCAAATCATTCATCAAACTAACTCGCGAATCCCGAAATACTGGTTGAAACGTCTTAATCTAACTCACGACCGTGAAGCCATTTCCTGGATCAACAACTTGAGTGAGTGAGTTTGGTTTTACGCCGCCTTTAGCAATATTCCAGCAATATCACGGCGGGGGACACCA